GGGGGGGGGGGGGGGGGGGGGGGGGGGGGGGGGGGGGGGGGGGGGGAGAGACACACATACAGAGGGAGAAAACACAGAGAGAGGGAGAGTTGAGATAGATGTATCTCCAGCGAAGAACAAAACTATCCGCGTCTAAACTTGGAGATTTGTTGCTATATTAGAGGATCATGACACACGTCGTTGAGTTGTCTCTGGCCTGTGAACGCAAACACTTCGCGCAGCAAAATATGAATGCGTCGCGCGCCTACACCCAATGAGGCATGAACAGTGTTCAATACGCCCTTACGAGTGGAATAGATGGCCATCGACTCTCCTCCCTAACCTCCACCAAACCTCGAAGCTTTGCCTCACGTTTGCTTCTACATACAAAAGGGCGATTAATCGCAAGCGCCGGGGACTATTCCACCTATAGTTTCATTCGGCGGCGGGCACATCATACAGGGAACGCAGCAGTAGGATAGATAGGCATGAAACCCAGACAACAAACGAGCATAGCTTATCTCAAGCCGATATTTTCTCGCATCGTCCGTATCCGACACGATGACAACTCGGACCCCTCGCTAACCATCTGGCCCGTTTTTCCCCCAACCTTCTGCACACATCAATATCACTCCGTCTTCAGCCATTTAACCGTCCCTCTCCGTCCTTCACACCGCCGTGCTCTGCCGCGCACACTCTCTGGCCAAACCTCTTAAACCTCCATCTCTCTCTCACCATCCTCCCGAGCTCCATCCCCCAAAGGCTCTCCGGCCACGGCGCGTTCGGCGGCACCCTGAACGCCGGGATCATCCTCAGGTGCCCGTGCACCCTCTTGTAGCAAGACAGCGCTTCCACGATCCTCGGAAAGTCCTCCACGGTCGACACGCTTGGCTTATCCTCCGGCCTGTCGAGATCAAGGAACCTGTCCGTATCCCTCTCCTCAGCCACCGGCGGGGCCGCCGCCTGAGCGTACGCATGTGCCTCCCGCGCGCCCGCGAGAGACTCCGAGGAACTTCTACCCCCCCTGCCTCGACGGCCCCCGCCAGCTGGCGTACCCCCGCCCGCCCCCCCGC